CCCCACACACCACCACCACACACACACACACACACACAAAGAGAATAATAATAAGAGGCAAACATTCAGCCTGCCACAACAACATCTCGCACATAAGCAAACATCTCGCGGGGCTTCTTGCCATACACACTGTGGCCTGCCCCCCAAAAGAGATGGTAAGTCACCCCGCGTTCAGACCCCCAGACGCCCGCTTCAACGTCACACGTCTCCGTTGTATTTCCCTTATCGCAGGAAGGTGAGGGTGCAGCATTATCGCTGAAAAAGGGTCGGTTAGGCTTTTGGGAGAACCCTTGCGCTCCATTCCACGTCATGTTCTGGAGACTCAGTTCGGTGCCGAAATGGTTGAGGAGAAAGTCGTTCTCGCCGGAGTAAATATGAAGCGGGATATTGTGGGTTGTGACGAGATCAGGCAGGATAGAATACGCTGGGGCCACGGGAGATGTACTCGATAAAAGCGTTGTTAGGATTGTGCTGTTGCATGGGGCGAAGTTCATTGGGGAGGGGAGAGGAGGAGGAGAAGAAAGATTGTTTCCACTGAGGTCCTTCCCTGCTGCGGCAGGGAGTAGGTTCAGTGCGACTTGGACGTCTGTACGGCTGAAGTAGGAGCTAGGAGGCCCAGGGGGTCGACGGTATCACAGTCATTGAGGGTGTCGTAGATATCGTGACACGGTTTGCCTGTGCCCGAGGCCGACATGGCGCCCAAGTAATCGAAAGCCGTGGCGAAGGTCGCACAGGGACCGTAGCAGGTGGAATTCAAAATGGACGCCTTGACCATGTCTGGTGTGGTGGGCTCGAGGTTGCATGTTTCATCGACTAAGTTACGAGCGTCGAGGAGCTGGTGGCGTTTGTAGTTCCGGTTCTCTGGGTTTCCGGGGATGCGGATCTTGCCTTTGGGCGGGTATTGGTTTGCTGCTTCGAGGATGTGGTCGAATCCACAGGTCTTTTCTGCTTCTGTGAAGACGGATAGGATCTCATCTGGGATCTGGAGGATCTCTTTCTGAGAACGCATGAATGACCCGATTGTGACGGTGGACATAGCAGCGGCGTTCCCGATGGTGCCGTCGCCGATGGAGATGGAGCAGAGGTTGATGGGGAACGAGTCCTGCCCTTGGACCATGGCGGAGGCAAAGTAGGGGATGTAGATTCCCGCCCATGACTCTCCGATCATATGTACCTGTTTTTTACGGAGGTGAGGGAACAGGGCGAAGAAATTCCGGAGCCATTGGTCGAAGTCGGATGTGACGCGGTCGTGGTCTGGGACAGGATAAGGGTTACTTGCAGTCGAATATCCCGTTCCTACCGGCTGGTCGACGTAGAGGACGTGGCCTAGCTTGGTCCACGAGTGTGGGTTCTGGATGAGACGAGTGGAATTGCCGTCAAACGAGACCGGTCCGTTTCCTGTGGTGAGCCCTATCAGGGACGAACAACCGGGGCCTCCATTGAACCAGACTATGCCAATTAACTATGCTCCCCAGAATGAAAGTTGTCGGTGACGGGACGGACTTATGAGGTTTTCATCGTATGTAGGATCTTCAGCCTCGAAGAGCCAGAAGAACAACGAATTACCTGGAGGCGTTTCAGGAACAGGAAGCCGGCCAGCCCAGCTCAGCGGCAAGGAAGTATTAGGCAATGAGTGAACCTCATATTGAGATCTATTGGTAGGCACTCGAACTGTCTGTGGGAAAAGGAAGGCAGGGACTGCCCATAGAGAATATATGAAGGAATATATTGCTGCGATGTTCATTGCGTTTACGCCCGATGAACCACAGAGGCCCGAGTGTTTCTGACCTACACAGCCAAGTATACAAAACGTCTCTGTAAATCTAGCCAAAACGCCATTAAAATGAGGATATACAAGGCGGAGCGAAGGAAGGTAAGAGTGGTTGGCCATGCGGTATACATAGTAACATCTGCGGCACCTGGTGGTAGTGAGGCTTCCGGATATTGCCCTCAATAAGCTTATTGAGCACGGCCGTCTCCATCTCACCCGCGCACATCACGGATGCTAGCAGTAGTTTAATGATCATTCACTTAATCCCTTTAAATCATACTCGGATCCTCCCTACATACAGAGGAATAGTAGCCTGCAACTGTTCGGTTGGAGAAGTGCCTAGTGTCCATGTCTTGTCTATGTTGTAGCCATGGTCTTCGGCATTAAGTTGCTTCCCCTTTCAAGTGGAGGACCACACATTGTGCTAATATCATCCATCACCCAAGCTCCTTACCATTCTCGAGAGTGTAATTCAGAAGAAACCACTGTCCTCTGTGGATCAAGACATCTGAAGAATGAGCTTTTCAACAAGACTACGTAGCATAGGGCTCAGGGTTAGGGTCAATCATCGACGGACCACGTGACCGTACTTCCTAACTCGGAAACAGTATTTCCTCAGGCTTCGAATCCCCCAAGCTATAGAATTTATATATATAATATTCTTGGACCAAGCCTCCGTCGAATCGAAGCTAGAGAGTCATCCTGACTCGCCGAGGTCCAGACATAGGAAGGGATCGATCGTAGCGGAGATTAAATAAACTAAAACTGGAGCCTGAGATCGAAAGTGGACTTCTCAGCCGCAATTGGTGGCCAACAAACTTTGATCTACAGACTTACTTATGCCAATAAATACGGGTATTATTGCCGATCGATGTCTAGATCTTGTATGTATCTACATTACAATGGACACTAAACCTGGCTGATGTTTGATTGTGACGGACCTTGTCAAGCATCGTGATGTATCGCCATTGTATCAAAAATGGGGGTAGTCCGTATGATTGTCTATTCTGGACTCATCAAGCCTATTGTTTATATCCACGACCTGCTTGCAACTGTCGGTCTTTCCCTTCCAAGTTTCTCCTCCTAGACCAAACTTTGTACTTCATGAACAATGGCGGACTTACTTCAAACCGACTTCTGGCGTCCCGCCAACCGCCCCCTTATCAGAAATATTACAAAATCTTCGACGATGAAGATCAGTCTCAGATTGCCTTTCCCCTCATCCTTGAACCCACGTCGCCTACTTCAGAGGAAGCCCTCAATGCCGCTGCCGACCTAGGCAGCAAGCCCAGTGATGGCTGTGTATGCGGTTGCTGAGAGGGCAGCCTATCTGATTCAATCAGCAGTTGATAAGAAGTAAGCGGGAGATTATCGTGACCAGTTCACACGGGGTTCGCTAGCGCATGCTATTTTCTAGGAGCTAGATGGAGCAATAGCGTTGGTCCCACCGATGAGCATATCAGCAAAGGCCATGTCTTCGCACATGCTCAGGGCCACCGTAGATGAATATTAGTCTGAGCTTCTTACAGAATAGAACAAACAACCCGATAAAGCGTTAGAGATGATCATTGGTTTAATGGTCTGCAGGGTTTAGTCTTCAACCAGTATGACTCAACAAATATATCCCTCAACTAGTGTTTACTCGGAAGATGATGGGTTGGATTAGATCATATATCGGGGCTCTATCCTTCATGGATTCTCATGATCCGGCACTGTCTTTACTTCCCTCTGGGTATTCAATCGAGTCCATCACTCATCGACACCCTCCTCGCCTTCCTCCCCCGCAAGCCCGGCATCACGCCAACTGCCTTCAAATCCCACTACGAGAACCACCACATCCCCCTCAAGGACATTCTCGGCCCTGACCGCTTCCCTACCGTTCACAAACGATACTATTTACCCCGGGTTGAGGAGCCTATCTTAAACACCACGGACAAATCCCCGAGGTAGACCACCGTGACTGATCCCCATTCCCCCCCCGCCGCGAGGGAGTCATCCTCCCCAGCACCGTTGCCAGGGAATTCACCTGGGACTGCTGTGCGGAGGCTGTTTTTCGTGATCAGGCGCATTACGAGGCGTTTCATGAGGCGTTAGTGGCGCAGGGCGAGCGGTTAAGCGCGGATGAAGAACGGTTTTTGGATCGGGGGAGGATGAAGGTTGTTTATTTTGCGGCGGGGGCGGCGGTTAGTTCTTTTGCTGGGTAGGGCTTTATTGGAATTTGGTATAGTCTAAGAATGTGGTTGATCAGGTAGCTGTTGGACATTGGGGAGTGTGGTGTAGGGGAGGTATTATATGATGATAGTGTTTATCACAGTTAGGGCTAAAACCGTGGCTGTAGAACTAGGGAGCAAAAGAAGGACTTCATGATGACTGCACTTGAAGATACCCTGTTCAAGACCTGCTTTGTTATATTCCTGTTGCAAAACACTCTTATATAACTGCGTGTATGGAAGGCAGTCACAAAGACTAAACTCATGGCAACTTCTTAACTTGTGTGATCCGGCCATCTGGTATCTTTGGCGTCGGTGCCTTGGTTGTGCTCCCTGGGACGCTGGAACCATATTATCGTGGTCGGACGAATGTGCAGATTGGCGACAATAGAAATCTGTTCGATTTTACGGAGAGTACAAACGTGGCGCATGGGCATTATCTTGCCGCCGAAGCGCTGGTCAAACACCAGAAGGAGTTGCCTCCGGATAATATGAAGGTCGACGGAGATGCGTTCTCCCTGTTAAATGCTGTCTCTGTGGATGGGTCATGACCCGAGGCTTTGACTTCATACATGCAAGATGCCGTATAAGCCAAGCAAGCACGAATATAAGTTCTCTGCTTTGCAGATCGAGGGTATATCCTACACTAAAGATGGGCGAGTCATGATACGTCTCTCGTAAAGGTTCAAAAGCAAGAGGATCTGACCATGACTGGCTCCATGGTCCTACAACTAGTTCAACAAGGACTAGCTTTCAGGCTTAATAGATATATCGAGGACATGGGCAACTTCTTTATCGTCATCCCACTGTTTCATCGCCCTCAGCAGCTGGGGATTGGTGCATGTAGAACTACACGGCCATTGGCATCTCACATTTCTTAAGATTCGTCCATTCCTGAAGGAATAAGCAAAATCCAACCATGGGATGCTTGATACGCTATCCTACCAGGCACCACCTCTGGTATCACGAATGTGCTTTGTATTGCATGTCAGGATGATGTGATTAGTCCTGCTATATTCACAGTCCATACTACTACTAGTAGTAGTATACACCAAAGTGTGTCTCCATGCGCCAGGAGCGGTCAGGGAGCATTTAGTGCAGCTTTCGTGGATTGATGGGTGCTCACGTGAGACCCTCATCCAACAAAGCAGTTCGCAGAAATACGAGTAGTAGATGCGACAGTTATACATCCACACGACTGTGTCCCCGTCACAGATCCTCTCCATGGCGCGCGCCTTGACGAGTGCAGAATGCAGTCAGTGGACAAGTCAAGCCAAAAGAACTTTTCGTGCTCCGTGCTAAAACATCCCGTGGGATCAAATTAACACCGCTCTTTTATAGAAGTTTTGATGCAAACGGGGAGTGTTCCGGTGGCCTCCGGAATGAGGCGAATGTTTTTGTGATCAGTGCATTTGCAAAGTGAGGCGCCAAGCGCAAGCGACACCCATTCCTTCGTACGCCCCCTTCGATTCTTTTGCAGTCTGGTCAAGGTTCCAGCCCCCTCAGCATCCCTCTTTGTACGCAATACGGGGATCCTCTTTCACCATTGCCGCAGGTTTCAAACCAAATTTAACATCTGCTGAAATCCAAAGAAGCTTTAAAACATCACCACCACCGACAGAGTTTATTTTGAGAATTCTCGTGCCGATCCACATCCTTATCCCGGGGATCACTCGAGATATCAGGAGTTTATTCCACATCCTGTACTGGTCCCCTTGGAACTTGCAGGGGTTTAACCCCGGTAGGCTACAAAAACACAATGTCGCTGTGATTATCAGCGCGGCAGAAGCCCACTAGCCAATTTCACCGCGCGTGATCCACTTTCGACTGGAATTCTGGGAGATTTATCTATCAAGCTGCTGGGGGAGTGGATCAGGGAATATCCCCATCGTCCCACCACCCCCGAGACAAGGTTTCTCAGATGGGACTCTCCTATTCCCTGCCGTCATTCGCCACAAGCCATCCCGCCGACGGGCCCTGAAGACTCGATTGCAATAACTAAAAAAAAAAAAAAAAATGTCGGTGGGCGAAAGGTCTCTCCCATGCACCATACGATCGTTGGAAGTAGATGGTGAGTCCGATCACGGGCACAGTACCAACAGCGTCATTTCTCAAGTTGAAAGAAAAAGAAATTACGTTTCCCCCGAGGTGATGCTCGTGGCCACCCGTTTTGTGTGAAGTAAAGCGTCGACAACCCCATTAGCATCAAGGATATATGCCAAGTACTCTCCGTATAGTACACAACAGGGCCAACGCCGTCTCCATCGTCTGGTATGGCCGCGCGTGACACCGACGCACTGGATCATGCCTAGCGTACGCAGCTGGAGACGGATTCAAAAGGGCTCGAAACAGGCTCGAGGAGGGAAAAAGCCAAAATAGGGGAGAAAGGCGGGCATGGGAGGGTATTAAGGGCTCCAAAGTTGATATGCTTAAGACTGGAATGTCTCTCTGCTACATACCCTCTTCCCCCCCTACGTTAAGCTCGTTCTAAAGGGGTAAAAGGTTCTGAAGACCTGTTCCATTGCGCAAGAGCCATCTGAACACAATCCGCGGAAAGCGGCATACAAGCTGCAATCCACCGAACGCTCACTCCGGCAACGAAGACCGTGTCTTTCTGCAATGCCTTTCATACCTTTTTCCTTTTTTTTTTTTTTTTTCCTGAGATCGCCTCCTTGGCTCTCTTTGTCCACAGCCAATGCAATAATTGAACAAAGAACCAGTGGCGCCCGTGGCGATTCACAGTATTTAATAAAATCCTTGATT